TCCTTATGCCTTCTACGTCCCCGGCTGACAGCCAGACCGGTTCAAATCCTACAGTAGTGACGTGAAAGGTGGCCCCCCGGCAAGATATGTCCACACGGGAATCTCCAGAGTGTCATAATTTGGGGAAATAAAGGTCTTTGCAGATATGATGAAGCTAAGATTCTAGATCATTCTCGATCACCCAGAAGGGCTCTGAATTCCATGACAAGCGTCCTTGGAGAAGAGCGGCGCCCGCCTGGGGAGGAGGCCGGGGCTGCAGAGGGGCAGCCACAAGCCAGGGGACACCTGCGCTCACCAGAGGCGAGAGGAGGCCGGAGGGAAGCTCCTCGGGAGACCTCGGAGGCGGCTGGCCTCTGCAATCGTGAGAGAAGGAATTTCTGCTGTTTTAAGGCAAGTTGGTGGTGATTTGTGGCAGCAGCTGCAGGAGGTTAGTACACCTGCCTCCCCCCCCCCCCGCCCCCACGGCCACCCTAGCGGAGGGCAGGCTGCAGCTCCCGAGCCTGGGCGTTCGCATCTGTGAAACGGGGAAGCTTCTGGGTTCAGGGCCACGTGGGGGTGTGGGGGGAAGCTCCCCGACGAAGGCCCAGCACCCCCTGGGCCTCTCACTTGGGAGCGAGCCCTGGAAGCTCTATTACCAAACAGTTCTGGTCCCAACCAGTCCTGCCTCCTGCAGGGGCACGAAGGGACTTTAGAGGCCCCTTGGCCCGCCTCCCCGTGTGCTTTGTCACACCTAAGTCAGGACCCTGGCTCATCGGGGCGACTGAGGCTGCGTTGTACGGTGCCAATGAGCCCTTGTGATGCCATATGTACCCTGCGAGTGGCGGGCTCTCACAATGGCCAGAGTGTGGGAATTAGTGGGGACGACCCCAAAAGTGTCATCTTTGACGCCCATTAGAGGGGTGGCGGGATCTCACACGCGGTCAGAACATGGGCTCTGGGTCAGACTCCCTGCTCAGCCACTTCACCTGCTGTGGGATCCTGGCCAAGTTCCTCGGTTTTCTGACCCGTAAGATGGGCACCGTATTCATTCGGCTGCTGCTAGCCCAGGTGTTTGGAAATGCTTAGGTCGGCGTTAGAAGCTGTGGTTGTTAGAGACCTCTCCAGCCAAGGAAGAGGGTGCTCCTCTGCATCTGAAATCTAACCAGATTCCCACTCGCCCCCTCCCAGCGTCCAAGGGGAAGCTCCTTCCCCAGAGGGTTCTGGGCCGCACACTGCTTGGGTTTTCCCGGCCCACACCCTGAAGGCTGGGAGATGTCGGTGAGCGGTGAGCGCTCTGGCCCTTGCCCGTGTGCCTGGGTCTCTCCCGCTGGGAACCTCCCTCAGCCTCAGGCTGTGAGCCCTCCGGGGCCAGGCCCGGAAGTGCTGCCTTGGCCCAAATATCAAGTCACACACCCCATTTTCTCAAGGGCCCCACCCCCTGAATTCTTAGAATTCTTGGCTCTAGGAGTGTCAGCAAGGGGTTGGCCTCCCAGGGCTGGGTGGGGGGGGGGCTGGGTCCTCTGGTACACCAGGGGGCTCAGGCTGCAGTCCTGGGAGTGGGATGGAGTGGGGAGGGGGGTGGGGGGAGTAGGGTGGAGTGGGGAGGGAATCCGGGACAAGGATTCCCATGGGGCCAGGGCTTCCCAGCAGGGCTGAGGCCCCAGAGCAACCATGCAGGGGGTACAGTCCAGTCAACGCAGCCCAGCCGATGCAGCACCAAGCGCAGGAGGGGCCTGGGGACCGAGGGACACCGGGCCCCTCCAGGAGACAGCGGCCTGCACCGCCGCCCACTGTTTTGTGCGTGATCCCGGCAACTCCACCTCCCTCAGCTCCATGTTCCCGTCCTTAGGATGGCGTCCCTAATGTCACCCCGCAGCCCTGGAACACCCCAGGAGACTCTCCAGGTATTTGGGGAAGACGGGGTGAGGCCCCAGCCCGACAGGATGCCCTGTCCTCAGGGCACCGTGGGGACCTCGGTGGCTACGTCCAGGGAAGCTCTGATCTGCCCCCCAGCGCGCCCTGTATGGCTTTTGCCACCAGCGTCTGTTTGGGGATCTCAGTTCAAAACCTGGCGGTGGGGATCCCTGGGTGGCGCAGCGGTTTGGCGCCTGCCTTTGGCCTAGGGCGTGATCCTGGAGACCCGGGATCGAATCCCACGTCGGGCTCCCGGTGCATGGAGCCTGCTTCTCCCTCTGCCTGTGTCTCTGCCTCTCTCTCTCTCTCTCTCTCTCTCTGTGTGTGTGTGACTATCATAAATAAATAAAAATTAAAAAAAATCTTTAAAAAAAAAACCCGGCGGTGTTCCGTGACGTCCCACGTGCCCCCTTCCAGAGAGGCGCCTTCCGATGGGCTCAGGGGCGGCGGGCTAGCTTCTGAGAGGGTCTTTCTGTGGGGCGGGGAGTCCCCGGGGTAAGGTGCCTTCTGCCCACATGATCGTCCATTCATCTGTCCATCTGTCCGTCCACCCATCGGTAGGCTGAGCCCTCCCGCGTCCTGGTGCGTTAAGTGTGGGGGAGCTAATTAGCCACTCGGTGTTGCCGTCTGTGCAGAGGGGGCAACACGAGAACCTAGCTCTTGGGGTGCTTGCCCGCACCAAGCAGATTCAGACAGCCGGGCCCGCTCCCTGTGGGCACAAAACTACGGTTGGACCTCGTTTATTATTGTCGTTGTGGATGTTACTATTATTCACTTTTTAAAAGATTTTATTTCTTTGTTTGAGAAAGAGGCAGAGAGCCGGGGAGGAGCCCAGGGAGGGGATGCGCGGCGGCCGCGCTGAGCGTGGAGCCCGACTCGGGCCCGGTGCCACGACTGGGGGCAGTCTTTGTTAAGTCTGACATCTGAGTGCTCTCAAAGGTAGTTTCTGTGGCTTTCCTGTTTCTTAGCATGTCTCATTTTTTGTTGTTGAAAGCTTAGATGTTATATTGCAGCAACGCTGGGTAGGGATTCCTCCGCCGCTCCTCCCGGAGCTTTTTGCCCATAGCGTCTGCTTGTTTGTTTAGTGACTTGGATGGACCATTCCAGGAAAGTCTATTTCCCTTGGTGTACAGCTCCTGACATTACTCCTTAGGGGGTGTAGACTTAAGCAGTGTATAACCAGCCCGGGATGGTGTGGTTTTCATTAGGGCTCTCTCTGGGTTTCTCTGATCTGTCTGTTAAGCTACCTGCCTCCGTTGCTGTCACCCAGGTCTTAACCTCCACTAATTGCAGGCTAGTGACTGTTGCTTTCAAGAACACCCTGGGGCACACCATTGTTCTTGCTTTCTGCAGGTTCAGCTCCAGTAGCGTGAGTGGCTTCTCCAGTCCTCCAATCCTGCTGTATGCGTGACTTGTAGCTCTAAGCTCCTGCATTAGCTCTCCCTTTTCCTGGAAGAGCTTGGTAGAGCTACCATTTAGATAGTCTCATTTCAGAGAGTGCCTCCAGCAAGACATCACTCTATGAATGAATGGCTTTCCCTACTGCCCACGGGGAAGATTGTCATGAAATTTGTGAGGTGGGGGGCGGCGGGATAGCTGCTGCAAGTCCCACTGGTACAGCAGAGCAACTTCTTTGCCAAGTCGGTGAGTCATGTCAGCCTCTCCAATAAGCTCTAGACCTTGGCTCTATGGGGTGGGAAGTGTGCTCTTTCAGCCCTAGAGGGAATAGTTGTTTCTTGTACCTATAATTCCTATATACTTTTGAGCTCTCTTTACTTCTTGTTAGCTAATCTCTTGTGGCTTCTATACCCTATTATAGTTAATAGTTCCTTATGTTAGTTTTCTTCACACACTGTAGAAGCTGGACACTGGCAAAGCCACTTGTGCTCCAGGAGCCTGCGTGTGACCACCTGGAAGCAGACAGCAGAGCCTTCTGTCCTCAGATGTCTCTTCAGTACCTTTCCCCGACAACGCCTCATTGCCAATGGGCAGAGGAGAAATACTGAAAGTTCCAGCTCCATTTTTACAAAGCAGACAAAAATTGCATTTGGAGCAGAAAGGCAATGATGACTTGATAACTGGCAAAAGCGCAAATGCCCATCTGCAGCAGAAGAAATAAAAAGTTGTGGTGTATTTATACCAGGGGATGCTATACACGAATGAGAATGAACGAACCGATCTATACAGACGACGTGGAACCCTCGGCACAGTGTTGAGTGAAAGAAGCCGGACGTCAAGGAATACTCCCTGGATGATTCCATTGACATGAAAGTCAGAAATCAGCCAACTGAGTTGGGCTGTTAGAGGAGCAACAGTGGTTACCTAAGGTGCGTGTAGTAATGGGGAGGCAGCGGTGGAGATGGGGAGGAGGGACCGTCTAGATGCTAGAGATGTCCTATATCCCGGTTTGGGCGCTGGTATGTGGATGTGTTCACTTTGTGAAAGTTCCCCAAGCTGTATACCTAATAATTTATGTGGTCTTACGCATGCAGGTGCGTGCATACATTTATTATAGCTAAATAAGATTTGATTGAGAAAGAGAGGCTATCTGTGCGCCTGGGCTCCTTCCAGCCCTATTCACAATCCCTCAGCTAATTATCTCCTTCTTTTAGAAGAGGAAAATGAGATGTAGAGAACAGATAGAAGTTCTCTAAGGCCACAGAGCAGTAAGCTGAAAGAGCAGGATCCAAACCCAGGCAGGCTGGCATCTGGTAAGTCCTCTTGACCCTTGGCTAGGCTGCCTCCCCTCATGGCCTGGACTGGAGCGTCCAAGGCGGGTCGGGGTAGCTAACTGCAACGAGATATGCTTTGCCCACCCTAACTGGACTCTGGCGACGAAGGCTGGCCGCACGTGTCCTATTCTACAATTGAAAGGTCAGGCCGCAGAGGCCTGCACAAGCACGCGAGGCCTCTCCCTTGGATGCCCGGTGCCAGGTGCTGTTTGAGGCCCACCTGTGCCAAGCCTGTGGGAAACCCACTCCCGAGACGCCCCCTGCTGGGCAGGTTTGGTTTTCCTGGTGCCTGCGTTGCTGCTCGGAGAAGTAGTCCTTCCAGCTCCCATTAGCCTATTTAGGTTTCTGTGTGAGAAGCCAGGTCAGAGCCCTGCATCAGGGCTCAGCCCCAAAACAGCGGGGATCTGGGAGAGAGCTTGCATAACCAGTCCAGGTTCTCCGAACACAAGTTCCTCAGAGCAGCAGCTCCTCCAAGCCCTGGGAACATGCTCCTCCTGTGCCTGCTGTTACTGTCCAGCTTCTTGGTAGGACTCTTCCTCTGGGCTGTCTGTCAGCACTTCCTCACCGCAGATATCCCCTCTACCTTGCAACATCCCATCAAGCTCAGATTTCTGCATTGCATGTTCCTTTACATGGTCATTTTGGTGAGTTTGCTCTCAGGCTCTGTAATGGGTCGGGCTCCCTTCCTCTTCCCCTGCACCTGGCCCCTCCTTTCATCTTCAGACTCCCCCAAGACAGCCGTTGCTACACTTTTGTGCTGTGGTTCTGTTCCCCTCCCTCCTCCCTTCCCTTCCTCTCCTACCCCCTCCTCCGTTTCTTCCTTCACCCAGCACGCTGGCCGGGCTCTGAGCAGGGACTGGGGTGTGGGCAGGCCAGTATGTTCCTGGAGCCGCAGAAGATTTGGAAGCAGGTTTGGCACCTGGTAGGAGGCAGGCAACTGGATTTAACTCCAATGTCCTAACCTTGGGTGATAGGGGCCCAACAGCGTGAAGCTGCTTACCTGGTGGGAGGCCAGGGGTGGGTGTGGAAGGGTAGGGAGCCCAGGCTGCAGTCAGCCCGCCAGTGTGTGCACCCCAGCTCTGGCTGTGTGCTTCTGAACCTCTCTGTTTCCTCATGTATGAAAGGGAAACCATGGTGTCCATTGCATCACGTTGGTGAAAGAATTAGATGCTGTGATCTGATTCTTTAGAATTAGAATCTAATCGGTGTGCTCCACCGGAGGAGCGAAGCAGGTGGCTCGCCCACGGGGCCCTCCCGGGGATCAGGGCTTAATAGGTTTGGTAAAGGAGTAAAACGTGTTTCTGTGCTGCTGAGATGTCCCACTGTGGATACGATGGCCCCCAGCCATGTGAACGAGCGTAGTTTATAATTGCAGAAATGCTGCTGGTTCAAAGAGACAGGCCACGGGTGTAAAACTCTCGTCCATCGTACTTACCCGGCCACGCGCTTCGCCAGAGCTCAGCCTGTCTCAAACCAGCAGCTGCTCTCGCGTGGAATCGCAGGCTGGCCTGAGACCCAGAAAGGCCCGGACCTTCGGAGCCTTGGGCGTCTTCTCAAGAGCAGCCCACAGCCGCCGCCGCAGTAACCCGGCAGGTCCTGGGCCGCGAGGGGGGCCACCCAGGAGGAGCGGACGGCTCGCGAGGGGGCTTGCAAGTCGTGGCAAAGCGTGGACGAATCCGGAGGCCGAAGCTGCAAGAAGCGAGGGCGCGGGGGGCTGCTCCGCGTGCAGGTCCCACGGGGGAGCCGCGGGTGGGGAGGATCCCCGCTGCCTGAGCTGCGGGTCCTCCTGCAGGCTGAGCTCGGGGGGCTCGGCGAGGGGAGGAGGAGCGAAGCGGTGGCTCGCCCACTGGGCCCTCCCGCTGGTTTGCAGCGCCCAGGCCCCTGCTGCTGCCCGCTCCACCTGCCGGGGGTGCCCTGGGCGCCCTCGAGGAGCTCCAGGCGCTTGGGACAGCTCCCTGGGCCATGCTGCCCGTCCCGGGAGAATGCTGTCCAGGTGGTTCGGGTTCGCTGGGTGCTGGAAGACAGATACGAGAGGGAAAGGAATTTATTCATTTTTTAAAAGATTTTATTTATTCATGAGAGACACAGAGAGCGAGAGAGGCAGAGACACAGGCAGAAGGAGAAGCAGGCTCCATGCAGGGAGCCCGACGTGGGACTCGATCCCAGGACTCCGGGGTCATGGCCTGGGCTGAAGGCGGCACTCACCCCCTGGGCCACCTGGGATAAGGAATTTAAAGAGGAGGAGGAAATACCTAAAAAAGATGTTTATGGCCCAGAAATGAGGTGCCTGCTTTTTTTTTTGTTTTGTTTTGTTTTTGGTTTTATTTTCCTTTTATTTATTTATTTGTGTTGAAGTTTAATTGACATGCTAGATGATAATAGTTTCAGGCGTACAACATAGTGGTTCGCCATTTACAGGCCTTAGGAGATCGGAATGATAACTCTAGTTAGCACCTGTCGCCACCCAAAGTTAATAGGATATTCTTGTCTCTGCTCCCCGTGAGCATTACATCCCCCTGACTTACTTATTTTATAATTGGAAGTTTGTACCTCTTGACTCTATTTGCATTTAGTTACAGTTTTAAGTTTTCAGAAGTTGAGGGAGGATGAGAGATTTTTATTTTTTAGAAGGACATTCTTTTTTAAAAAAGATTTTCTTTTTGTATTTGAGAGTGAGAGAGAGAGAGCGCACGAACAGGGTGGAGGAGCAGAGGGAGAGGGAGAAGCAGACTCCCCACTGAGCAGGGAGCCTGATGTGGGGCTCGATCCCAGGACCCTGAGACCATGACCTGAGCCAAAGGTAGATGCTGAACTGACTGAGCCACCCAGCCGCCCTGGGAGATTTTTATTTAATTTCTTTTTTAAATCACTTTATTTTAAGTTTATTCCATTTTTTAGTAATCTCTATCTCCGACATGGGACTTGAACTCAGGACCCCAAGATCAAGAGTCAGGTGCCTGCTTTTGGTGTCAAATGACCATGGGTTTGAGCACCACATTTCCCACTTGTTAGCTTTGTGGCCCAATGTCTCCAAACCTTAAATTTTTCCCCCTGAAAAATGAGGATAGCAAAGAGGTGCTTTTTATAGGAGTGGTGAAGGGATTGAAGGGGAATGCATATGAGGTGTGTGGCACAGGGCTGGGCGCTTAGAAAGGGTTCAATGAAAGTAGATTATTGGGAGAATGCATGTCAAGTCCCCGAAGGCAAAGACAGCATTTCCTGGAATTATTCTGTAATAATTTTAGAGTTGTTATGAATGATTTCAGCTTTACTAAAAGCTTTAAAGAACAATACAACAGACACTACTGATTTTATTTTAAAGGGGGAAATGCCGCTAGAATATTTTGTGAAAGAGTTTTCAGTCTGTATCTAAAGTTCTGGACCACAGGTATTCCTAGCTTTCTGATGTTCCCATTTATATGACTACTGATACATTATTACACATTTTATAATATAATAATATATCATATTATATATTTTATATATATTTATATAATATAATAATATATTATAACTTTACAATTTATAAGAAATATATTAATTATAGTTACATGTAAATAATATAGTCATAATATTATAAGTAATAATAAGTATTAGTGTTTCTTCCCTTCCTGCTGTCCTAAATTACCAGCTCTGGAAACTGTGGACTCACTGTTGGAAAAGCCACCCCAAACCAGATCTGACTTCCTGGCTATATCTAGTGACCTTTCAGAAGGTCATACTAAGAGAGGCTTGTCATCACGCTGCCTTGTTCAGAATCCCTCAGACATTTACCCTTCTAGATGCTGGAGGCACGGAGATGAATGAGATGTGATGACAAGAAGCATTCGGTTTGGTGGAGGGAGACGCATGGGTGACCATATCCATGTGATAAAGCCTTGAGGGATTCTGAAGAAAACGGAGGGCTTGGAAACTTAGAGCTTTCACGGGGGGTGGGGGGGGCAGCAGCCTTCAGAGGGAGTGAGAGGGATGGCGTTGGTCAACGAGAACGTGGTCTTGAGCCTGGAGCTGAAAGTCAGTTTGGCGCCCATCTACCTGGTGGGCAGGAAGAAGGGCTCCAGGAAACAGCGTGAGCCGGGGATGAGTTCAGGGAGTGTGGGGAAACTACAGTGGGGCCAGTGAGTGCTGGAGGCCACTTGAGTCTGGGCGCCCGAGCAGAGCTGGCCAGGGAAGGTCTGAGTAGTCTCGGTCCAGAGGTCTGGTGCCCTGAGATGGGGGCCAAGCAGGTCCTCTCCATCTCGTGGCCCACATCGCTCTCTCTCTCCAGCTCAAGCAGGGAGATAATGGTTTTGTTTGGAGTTCTCCTTCAAGAAATCGAAGCCTTGGGTCTCCCCATGGAGGGAACGCACTGAGGCATCCCAAGGGGACCTGGGACAAGACCTAGTGGGTGTGAGCAAGAGAAGGGGTGGAGCTCACGCTTGTCAGGACTCACCAGGGAGATGCTCTACATGGTGGTCACATCTAATTCCCAAGCCTCATCCTCGGGCCATGGACACCATTCTGTTTTATAGATGAGGGAAAGCGAAGCTCGGAGAAGGTAATGCCCAACGCCATTCTGTTAGTTGGTGAGACACTAAAACTTGAGTTCAGATCTGCTGGACTCTAGAATCCAAGCTCTTTCTAGTTTAGTGGTTGAGAACACATGTTCTGCATCCTACTGGTTGGCGGGCAAGGCACTTGACCTTGGTGTTCCTCAGTTTCCCTCTTCCGTAAAATGGAGCTGGTAACTGCATGACTTAGAAGGGTTGCAGAGGGATCCCTGGGTGGCACAGCGGTTTGGTGCCTGCCTTCGGCTCAGGATGTGATCCTGGAATCCCGGGATCAAGTCCCACATTGGGCTCCCTGCATGGAGCCTGCTTCTCCCTCTGCCTCTGTCTCTCATGAATAAATAAATAAAATCTTTTTTTTTTTTTTTTTAAGAAAAAAGGATCACTGAGAAGCTGAATCCATTTCATACCCACTTGGACCAATACTGGGATGCTGTAGGTGACTCACACTGTTGGCTGTCCTTCTCATCTTATCATTATCTCACGTTGTTTTCCTTGTGACAGACAAAGGTGCAGACTTAGTATGAGATCCGTGGAAGAGACGATCCAAGATGCCTGAAACGCACTCCGTACTTGCAGTATAACTTGGGACCACATTTCGTGATATGTTCAGACATCTGTTTGTTTACAGCTAGAATGACCATGGCAGTTTAAAAACAATGGAATTCTTTTAAAAATTTTTTTATTTAAATTCAATTAATTAACATATAATGTATTATTGGTTTCAGAGGAAGAGTCATCAGTGATTCATCAGTCTTGTATGACTCCTTACATCACGTGCCCTCCTTCATGCCCATCACCCAGTTACCTCATCCCCTCACCCCTCTTCCCTCAATGACCCTCAGTTTGTTCGACACACATCTGGCAAATAAATGGCCTTTGTGTATTGCTCCCTCCTCCTGAGTCAACAGCAGACATCCCTAATGGATCCCATTACTTCCTTCTGTTGAACACAAACATGGCTTAAGAATCCATCACAGCCCAGGCTCCGGGTGGGCGATGGCAGCTGTTGACTTGGTGATGACCTTTTTTTGCCATCTGAGGCTGGAGAGACAAAGAGGAGGGCTGCCGGCCAGTTGCCTTGGACCATTGGCTTTGTTCAATTCAGTGCCCCACCACTCGGCCCAGTGTGGTTGATCTCTTTGGCAAATTCCTCCAGTTATTCGATTAAGGTCTTTCAGGAGAAAGTTCTGGAAACCAAGTCCTCACTCGGGACACAACTCAGAGCCTGTCCTCCCTGGTGAGCCCAGGGTCCACGCGGGTGAGGCACATGAGGGACTGCAAACGCATCCTGGCAATTGCAGGTGATGGGCGTCATCGATGGTCCAGATGGGTCCTGACCTCTCCTAATGTTTCCCTTTCTTTCTCTTACCTCCAACAGGCAGAAATATTTGAGAAGCTGGGAATATGCTCCAGGCTCAGATTTCTCCAGTTACTGCAAAGCGGTGTGAGAGTAAAGAGGGATGCTAGACTTGTGGTAACTGACTTGTATTTGGGGACCACACCGGTGAGGCTGTTCCAGCCCAAGGCCACGTCCTCCGGCCCCCGGCGAGGCATCATCTTCTTCCCCGGAGGAGGCGGGTTCCTGGGGAGCCTGGGTAAGGATGTCAGCTCCGTCCACACCTCTGCCCGCCCTTCCCATGAGAACCTTTCCGGAGTAACTCAGGGGCGTCAGCGGTCGCAGGTTTCTAGGGGGAGCCCAGACTAAGGGCTTTGGGGTCACGTCAGCAGAGGGTGTGCAGGCCGCGCATGTCAGGAGGGCTTTCCCAGGCATCCACTCCCCCCGTGCCCGTGCCCCACCAGGCCCCCCCTGCTCCTGGGCTCTGCAGCCCCGCACCCTAGGCCCGGCTCCTCTGGCCCACGCCCTCGACCCTGGCAGCCCCAGCAGCCCTCCGCCCCTGCCACCGCTCAGGCCACCCCCCACCTGGCAGAGGCGTTTAGGGAGCACAAGCCCGGGCCGGCCGCTTGGTGCCAAGGCCCCCTCGATGCCTGGCGGGGTGCGGCCAGAGCCAGGCCCTGGAGCCCCGATGGCGCCGGGCACCTGCCCTCCGTCCCCGTTCCTGGCCGCCCTGTGCTCCCCGCTGCCCGCCTGGCCGCCTTTCGGCATCTCCCGGCGCCCCCACCTCCCCCCCCCCCCGGCTCTCCGGCCCGCCCTTGTTCCTCCTCAAGTGTCCCCCTCTCCGAGTGGCCCCCCGTGACAGCTTGTCTAAGGAAGCGTCCCTGACACTTCTCCGCCCCGCCCCGCCCCTGCCATCGTCCTTCTCAATGTTCTCCATGGCACTTGTCACCCTCTGAATTGGTCTCGGCCTTTGCGTGCTTCCTTATCTACGGTCTCTCTCCCCCAACTAAACCCGGAGGCCCCAAGAGTGCCGGGGAGACTCGTGCGCCCCTTTCTGCCTTGTCCCCTGTGCCTTGTCGGTGGTTTTAAAGTTTTGAATGCCTCTCCGAGTGCGTGAGTGTGGGTGGGTGGAAGGATGTGCCCATGAGCCAACACACGAAGGGATGGGCGCACGGTGGGACGCCGGGGAGCAAAAGTGCCCCAAACGTCCCTGAAATTGGGGCGCACCGCCGCCTGGTGGAGGGCGTAGCAACATCCTCATTGGCTGCTGCGCTGCTCTCCCTTTTCAGAAGTCAACAATGGGTATCTCCCCCTACTGGCCCCAAGACCATTCTTCCCTTTCAGAGACCCCAGGAGCACCCCGTCAGTCGGCTAGGACCGTTAGCCTTCCTCGCTGGGGCTCGATGTTATTTCTAGAAGTAAAGCCAGAGCTCATTCAGCGAGTATTCCCGGAGTAGATACTGCCAGGGGCAGCGGACCAGGTAGAGAACACGAAAGGCCCTCATGGAACCTACTCCCCCTGAGGACGCTGGGCAATGAAAGAGAACAAATAAGTAGGGTGATTCCGCAGAGTGCTGGCACAAGGGGACGGAGCAGAGAACGAATCGGGGGCGTCTATGCCGGTACCGCCCCGAAGGTGCCCCATCTCGCCTGAGCTAGGAAGCTAAGCAGGTTGGGCCTGGTTAGTGCTTGGATGGGAGGATGACTTGGGAGCATCTTCAGTTTTTCCAGAGAAAGCCTCTCCAAAAAAAGGTAAAATTTGAGCCCAGGCTCCGCCCTCCGGTGAGGAGGAGCCAGCCCCGAAGAGCCCTGGACACAGCGTTCGAGGCCTGCGGGAGCAAGGGAGGCAAGGGGGTCACCCGGGCCACCATCTCGAAGCGCAGTCTTCAGGATGAATAACAGTTTTATGCGCTGTTTTTTGAAAATTCTACGATGAACAAAACAGGGCCGGTGAACTGCACGAAGGCCAAGTAGGCTCTTGTCTATGTAAGGTTCGCCGCGGAGCCGGTGGCGTTTGCTCGGATTCCTTGAAGTTGCATTTTTCCTGGTGGCTGAGTGTCTTGACGCCCTGGGTTTTGCGCCCATAGCAAGACCCTGCCTTGCCCCGGTGCTGCCCTGTTAGGTCTTGGCGGAGGGGACGCAGGTGCAGGCGCCAAAGCCGGGCCGAGGGAAGGAGAGGATGCCCCAGGGCGACCCAGCAGGGAGGCAGGGAGGCAGGGAGGCAGGGAGGCAGGGCCAGCTGCAGGCTCCAGCCTGGCGGCGCTTTGAAACCCGGGGGCTGTAGAGTCACGGTCCCCACATCCAGGTCCTCCCCGGGCTACCGTCCGTCCAGGCAGCAGCATTTTTAAAAAGCTCCCAGCCGATGCTACTCTGCAGGCAGAGCTGAGGCCTCCTGAGCAGCTGCTCACGCCCACTGGGTTTTGGCCCCTCCGTCCCCCTCATCTCCCTCAAGCAGTGTCCACGAAGCACGCACCCCCCTCACGTCCTCCGCCGGAGCACCCGTTCACAACCTCCCCCGAGGCCGGCGTTGCCTGGCGTGATTTGGGAACTCGCGCTGCCCCCAGAGATACAGGTTCAGTGACTTGGGGCTCAGGCTGGGCATCAGGACTTGTAAAAACTCCCTGGAACTTCTGTGTCCACCACGGTTGACAACCACTGAACTAGGGGCTTATTTGGTGCAGGTTCTGTGTGTGGCCCGTGCTGGGACGGCCAACGTGCTGTGGACAATGGGCTTGTCCTCGGAAAACCTCAGGGGCAGCGCTCGGCTCATAGGCCTGGGCCCTCCAACCATCGCCTATTTCTCCATCGTAACGTCATTAATACGCTCCGTCAGGCCCGCCCGCCTCCTCTGGTCTTGGTTTCTAGGTGTCAGATCACCAAGCCTTCCGGGCCCTCAGTGTCCCCCCGCACCCCCTCCCCGCGCCCCACTGTAAAAGAAAACGTTGCCGCCGGTGAGCCCCAAGGCACATCGGAGCCCCGACATCAGGGACCGGAGCAGGTGTCAGGCGTCTGACGTGAGCTGGCTCTTTGGTTGTGCCGAGGCAGAGGCAGCCAGTGTCGCTGCAGAGGAGGCAAGAGCAGGAACAGAAGGACAATGTCACACCCACAGACGATGCGGCTGGCGGGCTCTCTCCCTGGGGGCGGGGGGGGGTGGACTGCAGGGGACACGGGGGTGGCCGCTGCCGTGACCGGGCCTGTCTTGCAGACTCCTACCACAACCTGTGCAGTCAGCTGGCCGTGGAGACTGACTCGGTGCTGCTGTTGATTGGGTGAGTCGCTGGGGACAGTGGGTGGGTGTCCCCTGCGTGGGGCAAGGCGGGAATGAGCGCGCATAGGCCGTGGGAGAGGGAGGGCCCACGCCCCAAGAGGCACTCCTGCGCGAGCAAGCACAGCATGTGCAAAAGGGCGAAAACCCAGAAACAATCCACATGCCCCGCGCCCCACAGGGTGTGTGAATACACCGCGGCAAGAAGCGACGCGCGCTGGTGAGGATGCGGAGGAAAGAGAACCCTCCTGCACCGTGGCTGGGAACCCACGCTGCGGAAGACGAGGCGGAGGGGCCTCAAAAAGTTAAAAATACAGCTACCCCGTGATCCAGTAATCGCACTCCGGGGTGTTTACCCAGGGAATACGGAAACACTAATTTGACAGGACGTGTGCGCCCCGGGGTTTTTGGCAACATTATTTACAATTCCAAGGTGCAAAAGCCGCCCAAGTGTCCCTTAATTAACGATGGATAAAGACCACCTGGTGTCTCTATAATGGAGTATTACTCAGCCATAAAAGGGATGAAATTTTATTTTTTATTTTTATTTTTTTTAGTGATTCATAACTCACACAACACACTCAGTGCTCATCGCAGCACGTGCCCTCCTTGATGCCCAGCGGCCCCCCCCCCAGCGCCTCCCCATGCACCTGCCTCCCGCCAACCCTTGGTTTGTTCTTTACTCTTCAGGGTCTCTTCTGCTTTGCCTTCCTCTCTCTAAAAGGAGTGAAATCTTGCCATTTGCAACAATACGGATGGACCTAGAGAGCAGTGCTGAGAGAGATAAGCCAGTCAGAGGGGCATAAATACCGGGATTTCAATCATATGTGCAATTTAAGAAGCAAAAAAATGAACAAAGGGAAAAAAGAGAGACAAAGAGAAAAAACCAGACTCTTTTTTCCTTTTTTTAAAAAGATTTATTTATTTATTTATTTATTTATTTATTTATTTATTTATTTATTTATTTATGATAGACATAGAGAGAGAGAGAGAGGCAGAGACACAGGAGGGGGGAGAAGCAGGCTCCATGCCGGAAGCCCGACGTGGGACTCGATCCCAGGACCCCACGATCGTGCCCTGGGCCAAAGGCAGGCGCTAAACCGCTGAACCACCCAGGGATTCCCTTTTTTAAAGTTTTTATTTAAATTCCAGTTAGTTAAGGTACAGTGTAATAGGAGTTTCGGTGTACAGGACATGACCCAGCACTTCCGTACATCAGCCCGTGCTCATCGGGACAAGTGCTCTCCTTAATCCCCGTCCCCTATTTCACCCCCCCCACCTCCCCTCTGGTCACCACCAGTTTGTTCTCTATAGTGAAGAGTCTGTTTCTTGGTTTCTCTCTATTTTGTCCCCCTTTGCTCATTTGTTTCTGAAATTCCACATTCGAGCGAAATCCTATGGTATTTGTCTTTCTCTGACTGGCTTACTCCACGTAGCCTAACACTCTCTGGCTCGACCCACGTCCTCGCAAATGGCAAGATTTCATTCCCCTTTAAGGCTGAGTAACATCCCATTGGATAGGCGCACCGCATCCTCCTTGGCCATTCATCCGTCAGTCGCGGACTTTTGGGGTCTCTCCCGTAGTTTGGCTATCGTTGATGATGCTGCTATAATCATTGGGGTGCAGGTGCCCCCTTGGAGTCTGTATTTCTGCATCCTTTGGGTAAATACTTAATAGTGCAGTTGCTGGGTCGTAGAGGAGTTCTCTTCTTAATTTCTTGAGGACCCTTCAAACTGGTCTCAGTTTGTGTTCCCACCAACAAACAGGGCAAGGGGTTCCCTGTTGTCCGCCTCCTCACCAACACCCGTTGTTTCTTTATTGCTAATTTTAGCCATTCTCACAGGTGTGAGGTGATAGCTCATTGTGGTGTTGACGTATTTCCCTGATGATGGGTGATGCTGAATATAAGGATTCTGAGTGTCTTCTTTGGAAAAGTGTATGTTCATGCCTTTTCTTTCTTTCTTTCTTCTTTCTTTCTTTCTTTCTTTCTTTCTTTCTTTCTTTCTTTCTTTCTTTCTTTCTTTCTTTCTTTCTTTTTTGACTTATTGATTTATCAGAAAGAGAGAAAGAGGCAGAGAGCACGAGTAGGGGGAGGAGGGAGGGAGAAGCACACTCCCCGCTGAGCAAGGAACCTAATGTGGGGCTCGATCCAGGACCCCAGGATCATGACCTGAGCTGAAGGCAGATGCTTTACCCGACGGAGCCCCCCAGGCTCCCTGCCTCCTGCCCACTTCTGGACCAGATTGTTTGTTTTCTGGGTATTGAGTTTGATAAGTTCTTTATAGATTTTGGGTACTAGCCCTTCATCAGATGTGTCCTCTGCAAACACCTGCTCCCATTCCGCAGGCTGCCTGTTAGCGTTGTTGACTGTTTCCTCCGCTGTGCAGAAGCTTCTGCCTTGATGAAGGCCCAACACTTCATTCTTGCTTTTGTTTCCCTTGCCTCCGGGGACGTGTCTAGTGAAGTCGCTACGGCCGAGGTCGCAGAGGGGGCTGCCTGGGTTCTGCTCTAGGATTTTGATGGTTTCCTGTCTCACATTCAGGTCTTCCTGAATTTCTGTTTGTGTGTGCTGTAAGAAAGGGGTCCGGGTTCATTCTTCTGCATGCGGCTGTTCAGTTTCCCCAACACCGTTTGCTGAAGAGACTGTCTTTTTTCCACTGGATATTATTTCTTGCTTTGTTGAGGATGAGTTGGCCATATAGTGGGTCCATCTCTGGGTTCTCTATTCTGTCCCATTGATCTGTGTGTCTGTCTCTGTGCCAGCACCTTACTGCCTTGCAGACTGCAGCTTTGTAATAGAGCCCAAAGTCTGGAATTGTGATGCCCTCGGCTTTCCTTTCTCTTTTTCAAGATCGCTTTGGCTATTTGGGGTCTTTTGTGGTTCCACGCAGTTTTTAGGATAGTTTGTTCTAGCTCTGTGAAAACTGCTGTTGGCGTTTTGATTGGGATTACATTAAATATGTAAATTGCTTTGGGTGGTACAGACATTTTAACAATGCTTGTTCTTCCAATCTGTGAGCCCGGAATGCTTTTCCATTTCTTTCACAAGTTTTCTATAATTTTCAGAGTACAGATCTTTCACCTCTTTAGTTAGGTTTATTCCTAGGTATCGTATTGTTTCGGATGCAATTGCAAATGGGATCGATTCCTTGGTTTCTTTTTCTGCTGCTTTGTTATTGATGTATTAAAATGCAACAGCTTTCTGCACATTGATTTCATATCCTGAAACTATGCTGAATTCATGTGTTAGATCTAGCAATTTTTTGGTGGAGTCTTTCGGGTTTTCTAAATAGAGTATCATGTCATTTGCAAACAGTGAAAGTTTGACGTTTTCCTTGCCAATTTGGTTGCCTTTTATTTCTTTTTGTTGTCTGATTGCTGAGGCTAGGACTTACAGTGCTATTAAATAGTAATGGTGACAGTGGACGTCCCTGTCTTGTTCCCGACTGTAGTGGAGAGGCTCTCAGTTTTTCCCCCATTGGGGATGATATTAGCTGTGGGTCTTGCGTTTATGGCCTTTAGAATGCTGAGGTGTGTTCCCTCTATCCCTACTTTCTTGAAGGCTTTTATCAAGAAAGATGCTGTATTTTGTCTTTGTCTATTGACAAGATCATACGGTTCTTTTCCTCTCTTTTATTAAAATTACATAGCCTTTTAAAAAGCATAGCTATTTAAATAAACGAACTCGGAGGGCACAAAAGAACGTGGATGCATCTTAGCCATATAAAATTCAGTGAAAAATTTTTTCAAAAAAATTACATAAAGCCTGAGACTTCTCTTTTTCTTTCTTTCTTTCTTTCTTTCTTTCTTTCTTTCTTTCTTTCTTTCTTTCTTTTTTAGACTTTATCAAGTTAAAAACAAAATCAAAAGAGTGTTTGTAAGGAATCTGCATGTGTAAAAAGGAAAGAAAAGGGATGATGGATGCCAGATTCAAGGGAACTGTTCCCCCAGATGAGGAAGGCAGTGAGATGAGATGCTGGTGAGGATATTACAGGGTTGGTTGATGATTATGGTCAAGGTCCTGGCTGTTGTTTGGGGTGATGATTCTGCTAATTGTGTCATTAAAACAACTAACTAACTAACTGCAGGGACCCATTGTTTCCATCAGGCTCTATACCCAAGAAGGCCCTTGTGCTGATGAAAATACTCTAACACATGAAAGTGTTAACAAACACCTGCATGAATACTTTGTAGGAAATTGCTTAGGATATTGTCTTTCTGGAAAAGACCCAAGGGGCACCTGGGGCTGGGAGCTCAATTGGTTAAGCATCTGACTCTTGATTTCAGCTCAGATCATGATCTCAGGGTCGTGAGACTCAGCCCTGAGATGGGCTCAGCACTCAGAGTGGAGTCTACTTAAGATTCTCTCTCCCTCTTCCTCTCCCTCTGCCTACCCCCTGCCTCATCTCTCATGCTCTCTCTGTCTCTCTCAAAAAAAAAAAAATTAAAATTAAAAAAAAGAAGGAGAAGAAGAAGGAGTAAAAAAAGACCTAGGGCGTGGGCGAGCCTGATTTTGATAGAGTGGCTGGTGGAGGTAGAAAGGCGGGGAAGGTTCTTCAGGCTGCCAGGGGGACTGCGGGTGGACCATGTCCAGGAGTAAAGACTTAGAGACACAGGAAGAGATGCGCAGGATCTGAAATACTCGTAATTCCTCATCACCGCATAATGGGACTCCCTACCTAAGCTCCTGGAGAGGATCAGTCTCTTTCCCTTTTGGTCCTGCAAAGCCTTTACCCCTGCCCTCGGTGGTCAAGAGAGAATACAGGAGGGCACGGGGCGTTACTGTCTCTTTCCAGCAAATCAGGATTCTGCTAATGGAAAGCACGTAGGGTTTGTTATTTCTTTCATTATGTCAGATTTGCACAGTCAACATTCAGTGAGGTGGATTCACTTCTAGAAAGGGGAAAATGGAGCCTGAATTTGTGCTTGCTGCTGCTGGGGGCTGGGGCCCTTTCACTGCGAGGACCCTACCCAGTAGTGTATGTTCTGCTGAGTTATTTATTTTTTATTTTTTAGAGATTTTATTTATTTATTTATTCATGAGACACACACATACACACACAGAGGCAGAGACACAGGCAGAGGAAGAAGCAAGCCCCATGCAGGGAGCCCGACGTGGGACTCGATCCCAGGACCCCGGGGTCACGTCCTGGGCTGAAGTTGGCGCTAAACTGCTGAGCCACCCAGGGATCCCTGTTCTGCTGCATTTATTTATTTTTTTTATTTTCCTTTTTTTTAAATTTTTATTTATTTATGATAGTCACACACACAGAGAGAGAGAGAGAGGCAGAGAGAGAAGCAGGCTCCATGCACCGGGAGCCCGACGTGGGATTCGATCCCGGGTCTCCAAGATCGTGCCCTGGGCCAAAGGCAGGCGCTAAACCGCTGCGCCACCCAGGGATCCCTCTGCTGAGTTTAAATGAAAACCCACGTTGATAACATCGATTTATTTATCAATATGTTGCTCATTGAAGAAATGTTGCAAAATTGCAGTTGATCAAATCCTGTCCTTAAAGATGATGCCCGGAGCAACTTTTAATGGAAACGAAAATCAAGGTCAAACAGGAGGAAGTGGCTTTCAAACTGGGCTCCTCGGGGCACTAGGGTTCCCTTCACTGTCTTAGAGGTGGCCAAGGAGGTCAAGGAGGAGGAAGAGTGAGTGGGAGGCCTCAGGTCCCTTAGCCTTGGGCAAAGCCAGAACCACCGCTACCTACTTACCTTCTACAGCGGGGCTCCTCGTATCATTTTAATGAGAAAAAAAATATTGCTGTTCTAACAGAGTTTGCTTTTTTAAAAAAGAAAGATTTATTTATTTTAGAGAGATGGTGCAAGTGCGGGGAGGGGCGGAGGGAGAGAAGCAGACTCCCCACTGAGATACGGACCTGAGCCCATCAGATGCTTAACTGACTGAGTCCCCAGCCGCCTTCTAACAAATTTTAAAAGCCACTAGTCTAAGGTGTCATTTTTCCCTCTTTTTTTTTTTAAGATTTTATTTATTTATCCATGAGTGACACAGAGAGAGAGGCAGAGACACAGGCTGAGAGAGAAGCAGGCTCCCTGCGGGGAGCCGGATGCGGGACTCGATCCCAGGACCCAGGGTCACGCCCTGGGCAGAAGGCAGCGCTAAACTGCTAGGCACCCCCCCACCTCCCAGCTGCCCTCATTTTTCCCTCTTGAGTGTCTTCTAAATTTAATCTTAGAGTTAGAATACACTTGTTTGATCTTTTCAAATGATAGGTTGTAAGAAGAGAAAAGACAATTAGCGACAATTTCAAACAAAAATTTGGGGTAACAACCGTGTTTTACATAAAATGTCTAATCCAAGCAGTTTAGCCAAACTATTTCTCTCTATCTCATAGTTTCACACGTAGAATTTGCTGATTCATCAGTTGCATGTACACCCAGTGCCCATGACATCCAGCACCCTCCTTCATGCCCGTCCTTCAGTTACCCCATCCGCCCTCCGGCGACCCTGTTTGTTTCTGACACTTAAGAGTCTCTTAGGTTTGCCTCCCTCTAAGTTTCCCTCTTATTTTATTTTTCCTTCCCTTCCCCTATGTTCATCTGTTTTAATTCTTAAATCCCACATATGAGTGAAATCATGGTACTTGCCTATGGAATTTCCTCCAAAAGTCAAAAATAGAGCTACCCTATGACCCACTAAGCATTTACCCAAAGCATACAAGCGTAGTGGTCCAAAGGGGCACCTGCACCCCAATACTTACAGCAGTAATGTCCACAAGAGCCAAACTATGGAAAGAGCCCGGATGCCCATCAACAGGTGAATGGATAAAGAAGATGTGGTCTGTATACACAAGGGAATGTTACTCAGCGTCAGAAACATGAAATCTTGCCATTTGCAATGATGCGGATGGAACTAGAAGGTACAATGCTAGGCAGACTGTTTATTTATTTATTTTTTTAAATTCCTTCCCTTCTCTTATCCCAATCTTGATTCCTGCACTCTGTAGCTTGTGTTTTTGTATTTATGTAAGTGGATCCCCCCCCAGCTTTGTTGAAATATAATTGACATATAAGATTAGGTACCTTTAAGGTGCCCTCTGCCTCAGTTTGATACTGTAATCACCATGTTGTGCCTTAGAGCCCCACACCTCGTCACTTAGAACTGGAAGTGCATACTCTTCACTATCCTACCCCCATCTGCCCCAGACCCTTGGAAGCCACCATTCTGAGTTTTGGCTTTTGAGATTCCCCGTATAAGTGAGATCACACGGTATTTGCCTTTCTTTGCTTGACTTCCTGCACTTAGTGTGAGTTTTAGCGCTGTCCTTGACTCCCCCTTGCAATACTTGTAGTGTCCCCAAGGTCCATCCGTGTTGCCCCACATGGCAGGATTTCCTTCCTTCTTGTGGCTGAATAATATTTCTCTGTAGTTTACATGTTAGACATTCATTTTGAAGTCCATTCTCTTTACCCTTGAATTCCCATGAAGAGACACACTTTGGGGTCTTGCCTAGGGCAGCCCTCGGGATGCTCTCAGAGCCTGAGCAGTGTGTGTTCGCTGCCGCTTAGCCTTCCTACACTTTCACCCTCGGGGTACCTCCCAACCCACTCCCTCCTCCCCCAAACCTCAAGGAGAAGGTGGCTCTTTGAGTCCTTGGAAGAGAACAAACCTTGGTCATTAGACTTTTGATTAAAAAAAAAAATTCTTTCTGAAAGAAACTTCCCTTCGATCTGAGCTTTAGTTCCTTCAGCCCTTTCTCTCCAGAGAGCCAGCGGGAGGAACAGCAGCCTCCTTTGCCTTTCCTGCCATTATTGGTTGTTCTGCTTCCACTTCAACTTGCATGTCCTTGTGTGGAGTGTCTGCATCTCCCAGCAGCAGACAGAGCCTAGTGTGGGAGTCAAGAGGTCAAGAGTCCCTGCCTGCAAGACCAAGGAGAGGCTCTTCACATCCTCATCTGCAGAAGAGGGAGGGGGGTGGTGGATAAAAATCCTTACCTCACGGGGCCATTCTGAGGATTTAGTCAGAGACAGTGTTGCAAGGGGGAGTCGAGGACACAGTCAAAACGGCTCCCAGCGACAGCTGCCCACATTGCTGTGCTTGTGTTCCCTGCTTGCTCCTCAGGTACCGCAAGCTTCCGGATCACCACTACCCCTGCATTTTCCAAGACTGCCTGAACACCTCCATTCTCTTCCTGAAGGGCCTCAAAATCTACGGGGTGGACCCCTCCCGGGTTGTGATCTGCGGAGACAGCCTTGGGGGAGGGAATGCGGCCTCTGTCATTCAGCAGCTGGTGAGCAGATCAGATCTTCCCCGGATCAGGGCCCAGGTGCTGATTTATCCAATTACTCAGGTCATCAATTTGCAGCTGCCGTCCCACCAGCAGAACCGGAACGTCCCTTTCCTCTCCCAGAAGATCATGATGATATGTATGCTTAAATACTTGGTTGTCAACTCTCACTGGTGGGACACCATCCTGAGCGGTGCTTTCATCCCCCCGGACATCTGGAGGAAATACAGCAAGTGGCTCAGCTCTGACAACATACCCAAGAGTTTCAGGAAGCCAGGTTACCAGCCTGAATTTCCCGGGCCTTTTAATGAGGCCGCCTACCTGGAAAACAAACATCTTTTTGATTTAACAAATGCTCCTCTGCTAGGGGATGATGAGGTCATCGCTCAGCTTCCCGAGGCCTTCCTGGTGAGCTGTGAGAACGATGTCCTCCGTGATGACACCTTGCTCTATATGAAGCGCTTGGAGGACCAAGGGGTCCCTGTGATGTGGTATCACGTGGAGGATGGCTTCCATGGGTCCCTGATATTTTTTGATCAGAAGTTTTTCTTTTTCCCATGCGCCTTGAAAATTGTAAACGCTGTCAACAGTTATATAAAGAGCATATAGCAACCCTGGGGCATTGTGTCCTTTGGTGGATTCTATTTTGCTGATCAAGGAGATGCTAAATCAATGCTCGGCCCACAAGAGAAGGACAAGGAAGCTTAGAACAGTCCCGCTTAGTATCTAAGAAAATCCAAGATGTTGCTCTTTCTTTCTGGCACCAGCAATGGTTAATCCTGAATCTAGTAGCACTCGCTAACATTCTCAATCAGGTGAAATAAATATCAGAGGAAGGAACAAATGTCTTTAAGAATTTCTCAAAGCCCTAGCACACAACGTCTGTGCAGAATGAATGCCAGCAACTAGTCATACCGTCCCTGGTGAATCTACTCATGATGCAAAAGCATGGCTTGGTGGGTCATGCTGCCTGTTGGAGGAGGGGGCACCTAATTGTTCTTGGGGTCAGAGGTCACCAGCCAAATTACAGACTGGTTCCAGATCAGAATGCAGCGGGAGAAATGCTGTTGCAGTAGAACTCTTCTCTCAAGTTAGCAACCTGTCGACTGGACTAAAGGCAAGTTTCAGGGGACATGACTGGAAAAGTAGAGGGGGAAGAGGGAAAAGAGAGGCTGTGCAGGAAAAGAATGGGCTCTGGGGGGCTGTGAATGTTGTCTGGGCTCAAGTCTCTAATCTGAATTCCAAGATCAGGTCCCTGGCTACCAAGAGGCAGGCTCTCAGGGCCAAAGCTGTCTTGGGAACCTCTGGATGCCATCTGGAATACGCAAACTGCATCCTCAAAGGCAGATATCTTCTTACATACTCTTTCTTTGGTGAGCTTATGTATTGTTCCTACTTTTACAAAGAACCTTGTCCTGGGGGCACCTGGCCGGCTTGGTTGGTAGAGCGTGTGACTCTTGATCTTGGGGTTGTGGTTTGAGCCCCACATTGGGTATAGAGATTATTTAAAAATAAATAAAATCTTTAAAAAAAAAAAAAGGAACCGTGTCCTTGCTTAGCCCATATCACTTTCTCCGTTTGCAGGGAGAGGGAAGAGTATGTTGGTGCTGTGCACTCCACATTAATTTTTACATTGGGCCGATGTTTGCTAGATACATCTGTAATATCACAGAGCCTCACTGCTGCCTAGATCCACCTAAGTGCTGGAGCTGGAGGCTTTCCCTTCTTGTCAACCATAGCCTCTCTTAGTACCAAGGACCTCATTTATGATCAGTGGAGGAGGGGGTCTTACAGGTGTCTTGGATCCTTGGAAAGAAGGCAAACATCTACAAGGGGAATTCGGATTGAGTTTCTCAGGACATCCTATAGGCATCATGATCCATGTGTTATATGTGACTAACTTTGATGGAAGAGTATGCTAGTTATCTCTTACTGGGTAACAACATTACAGTGAACTTAGTGGCTTAAAATAATACACATTTATTATCTCATAGTTCTGTAGATCAGGAGTCTGGTCTGTGGGCTGTAGTCTCATCTGAGTCTTGACTGGGAAAAAGTCACTTCTAACTCAGGTCATTGGCAGAAAACAGTTTCTTGAGGTTGTAGACTGAGGGCTTCAGTTCTTTGCTAGCCAGAGGCCACCCTTAGACTCTAGAAGCCACTCACAGTTTCTTGCCATATAAGATACCCCAAATGACTGCTTGCTTCCTTCGAGTGACTAAGGGAGAGACAGATTCCAGCAAGATGGCCACTAAAGTCTAAAATACTTACAAATATGGAATCATATAATTTTAAAAAGATTTATTTATTTATTCATGAGAGACACAGAGAGAGAGAGGCAGAGACATAGGCAGAGGGAGAAGCAGGCTCCTCACAGGGAGCCCGATGTGGGACTTGATCCCAGATCTTCGGATCACACCCTGAGCTAAGGCAAATGCTCAACCACTGAGCCATGCAGGCGTCCTTGTAATCACATATATGTTATCACCATTGCCATATTCTGTTAGTAGCAAATTTCAGGCCTTGCCCATATAAGGGGATCCCACAAGAGTGTGAATGCCAGGGGATAGAGATCATGGGGACCACCATAGTCTGTTCACCACCAAAGGTCTCATCAGAAGTTTATTAATTAAAAAAAGAATGATGGAGACAAATGAAGATGAAAACACAATGGTCCAAAACCTTTGGGATACAGCAAAAGCTGTTCTGAGAGGGAAGTTTAAAGTGATACAGAGCTACCTCAAGAAGCAAGAAAAATCTCAAACACCACAACTTTATACCTAAAGGAGCTAGTAAAAGAATAAATAAAGCCTAAAATCAGTAGAAGGAAGGAAATAATAAAGATTAGAGCAGAGATAAATAAAATAGAGACAAAAAAAAAACAAAAACAAACCAACAATAGAACAGCTCAATAAAACTAGGAGCTAGTTTTATTGAATCAACAAAATTCATAAGCCTTTACCCAGGCTCATCAGACGCGCGCGCATGCGCGCGAGAGAGAACTCAAACAAAATAAGAAATACAAGAGGAGAAATGACAACTGACAACACAGAAATACAAAGGATTGTAAGAGAATACTATGAAAAATTACATGCCAACAAATTGGACAATGTAGAAGAAATGAATAAATTCCTAGAAACATGATTCAGGAAGAAATTGAAAATTTGAACAAATCAGTACCAGCAATGAAATAAAATCATAATTTAAAAACTCCCAACAAAAAAAAAGTCCAGGATCAGACAGCTTCACAGGTGACTTCTACCAAACATTTAAAGAGTTAATACCTGTACTTCTCAAACTATTCCAAAAAATAAAAAAGGAAGGAAAACTTTCAAATTCATTCTTTTTTTTTATTTTTATTTTTTTTATTTTTTTTTTAAATTTTTTTTTTTATTTTTATTTATGATAGTCACACAGGGAGAGAGAGGCAGAGACACAGGCAGAGGGAGAAGCAGGCTCCATGCACCGGGAGCCCGACGTGGGACTCGATCCCGGGTCTCCAGGATCGCGCCCTGGGCCAAAGGCAGGCGCCAAACCGCTGCGCCACCCAGGGATCCCCCCTCAAATTCATTCTATGAGGCCAGCATTTCCCTGAGACCAAAACCAGATAAAGACACTACCAAAAAAAAAAAATAAAGAAAGAAAGAAAGAAAACTACAAGCCAGGATCTCTGATGAACATAGATGCAAAAATCCTAAAAAAAATAATAGCAAACTGAATCCAACAATATATTAAAAAAAATCATTCACCACAGCCAAGTGAGATTTATTCCTGGGATGTAATATTTACAAAACAATTGACATGAGACATCACATCAATGAGAGAATAAATAAATAAATAGCACTATTTAATATATGCAAATGTATACATTTGACAAAGTATAACATGCATTCATGATAAAAGCCCTCAACAAAGTAGGTCTAGAGGGAATGTACTTCAATGTAACAAAGTCCATATATGAAAAGCCCACAGCAAACATCATATCAATGGTGAAAAACTGAGAGTTTTTCCCTAAAATCAGGAACAAGACAGGGATGTCCACTCCCGCCACTTTTGTTCAACATAGTCCTGGAAGTCCTAGCCATGGCAATCAGACAAGAAAAAGGAATAAAAGGCATCCAAACTAGTAAGGAAGAAGTAAAACTTTCACTATTTGCAAATGACATAATACTATATATATAAAACCCTATGGACTCCACCAAAAAACTACTAGAATTGACAAATGAATTCAGTAAGGTCACAGAATGTGAAGTCCATGTGCAGAGATCCTTTGCATTTCTTTACCCTAATAATGAAGCAGCAGAAAGAGAAGCTAAGAAAATTATAATTGTAACAAAATAATAAAATACCTAGGAATGAACTTAACTAAGAAGGTGAAAGACTTGTACTCTGAAAACTATAAAATACTGATGAAAAAAATTGAGGATGACACGAACAAATGGAAAGATATTCCATGCTCATGGATTGGAAGAACAAACATTGTTAAAATGTCCATATTGCTCAAAGCAATCTATGTACTCAACGCAATCCCTAACAAAATACGAATAGCATTTTTCACAAAACTAGAACAGACAGTCCTGAAACTTGTGTGGAACCACAAAAGACCCTGAGTCGCCAAAGCAATCTTGAAAAAGGAAAGCAAAGCTGGAGACTTCACAATTCTGGACTTTAAGTTACATTACTAAGCTGTAGTAGTCAAAACAATATGGTCCTGGCACAAAAATAGATACATTGATCAATAGAACAGAACAGAAAATCCACAAATAAACCCACAATTAATCATTGACAAAGCTAGGAAAGACTATCCAATGGGAAAAAGACAGTCTCTTCAACAAATGGTGTTCAGAAAACATGACAGCTACATGCAAAAGAATGAAACTGGACCGCTTTCTTTCATTATACACAAAAATTAAAGAAAATGTGAGAACTGAAACCATAAAAATCCTAGAAGAGAGTACAGGTCGTAATTTCTCTGACACTGGCTGTAGCAAGATTTTTTTAGATATATCTTGTGAGGCAAGGGAAATAAAAGGAAAAAAAATAAAACTACTGGGACTTTATCAAAATAAAAAGCTTCTGCACAGCAAAGGAAACAATCAACAAAGCTGAAAGGCAACCTACTGGATGGGAGAAGATCTTTGCAAATGACATATCCAATAAAGGGTTATATCCAAAATATGTAAAGAACTTCTACGATTCAACACACACACACACAAAAACAAAAACAAAACAAAACAAAAAAAACCCCAAACAACCCAACCGAAAAGTGAGCAGAAGACATTTTGCTAAAAAAGACATTCAGATGAAAAGATGCTCAACATCACTCATCATCAGAGAAATGCCAATCAAAAACACAATGTGACATCACCTGGCACCTGTCCGAATGGCTAAAATAAAAAAAACATGAGAAACAACAAGCGTTGGCGAGGATGCGGAAGAAAGGGGAGCCCTTTTGGACTGTTGGTGGGAGTGCAAACTGGTGCAGCCAGTCTGGAAAACAGCATGGAGATTCCTCAAAAAAAAAAAAAAAAAAGAACCATATGATCCAGCAATCATACCTACTACTGGGTATTTACCCAAAGAATATGAAAACACTAATTCAAAAGGATCCATGCACCCCTATGTCTATAGCAGCATTATCTACAGCAGCCAATTTATGGAAGTAGCCCACGTGTCCATCGATAGATGAAATGGATAAAGAGGAGGCGGTATATGTCCCCAGTGGGATATTACTCAGCTATAAAAAGCAATGAAATCTTGCCATTTGCAACAACATGGATGGATCTAGAGAGTATAGTGCTAAGTGAAGTCAGAGAAAGACAAATACCACATGATTCTACTCATATGTGGAGTTTAAGAAACAAAACAAATGAATGAAGGGGAGAAAAGAGAGACAAACCAAAAGCAGACTCGTGACTTATAAAGAACAAACTGCTGGTTACCAGAGGGGAGCTGGGTGGAGGGATGGGGGAAATAAGTGGAGGGGATTAAGGGTATGTTTATCTTGATCCGAGGTCGGTTGTGCAGATTCCTCTGGTGGCACCTCTGGGCTGATGAGGGCCTAGTGTTGTCTCCTCCTGTCCTTCCTGGTGTGAGAGAAGGGAAGGGAGGGATCTGCACAAAGGGACACTAATATCCTCCGTTTAGGCAAATGAGGGAGAGCAGAGAGTTATTTTGGGTTCCCTGTTTTTCAATTGTCTTCAGCTCACAGAAACCCTTGTGCCAACGTGGCCCGTTTGGGGGGTGGCATCTTCTGATTCCCTGCAGTAGTCTTTGCACATTTATTCTCACTTCATTTCCCGAGTCTGGTCATATGGTCATTCCTTTTGGTCAGATTAAGCAACTTGTCCAAAGTCAACAGCTGGTTGGCTGTAGAGCCGGGACTTGAACCCAGGCATTCCAGCTGCGGAACACCTGCTGAAGAACATTATGCTAAACTGCCTTTTTATACCAAACTGGAGGCGAAGTAGGTTCCGTGTTCTTTGAGGGGGCATGTGATGTGCATCCATGTTGAGTAACGTCCTATGTGGTA